TGAGGCGATGTAGCATGGTGGTTATGTGAATGATCTAGAGGGTTGATGGTCTGGATCGAGGTTCTGGTTTCCCAGTTTTCTAGCTGTTACTCAACCTCATGATTCAGAGTGCTCATCTGTAAAACAGGAGAATAGATGTTCCTATTTCACTATCTCATGAGGCTCCCTTAGTCTATCTAAAATAATGACATACTAATGAATTTAGGGCCATCTATAGGAGCTCTGGGAGCTCTGGTAGCATAGTACCTAAGGTACTGGACTGCTAACCAGAGGGCTGACTGCTAAGCATAGTGCCTAAGGCACTGGACTGCTAACCACCAGCAACTTCTCGGAAGGAAGATGGGGCAATCTACTTCTGTAGTGATACTGCCTTGGAAAGCCAAGGAGGGGTCGCTATAAGTCAGGTCCAACTCAAGGGCACATAACAACAACAACAACAACAACGGAGTTCTGGTAGCATAGTGCCTAAGGCACTTGACTGCTAACCAGAAGGCTGGTGATTCGAACCCACCAGCCACTCCTCGGAAAGAAGGTTGGACAATCTACTTCCGTAGCGATACCACCTTGGAAACCCAAGGAGGGGTCGCTACGAGTCGGTCCACTTGATGGCACACAACAACAACAACAACAACAACATAGGAGCTCTGGTGGTGTAGTGCTTAAGGCATTTGACTGCTAACCAGAAGGCTGGTGGTTCAAACCCACCAGCCACTCCTTGGAAGGAAGACTGGGCAATCTACTTCCGTAGAGATACTGCCTTGGAAACCCAAGGAGGGGTCACTATGAGTCAGAATTGACTTAATAGGAGTGAGTTTGATTTAGTTTTGGTAATAAAATGCTCAACAGGCCCCTTCCCCTTGATTAAAGGGGAAGAACTACTATTCTAAAGGAAGCTAGTGGCCTAGAACTTAACCTTGGGCTTCAGATATGTGAGCTTGATGGTTGTGTGCTCTCAAGTCAATTTGGACTCACAGTGTCTCCTTCTGCCCTGTAGGGTTTTCTAGGTTGTATTCTTTATAGGAGCAGATAACCAGGTTATATAACTGGGTGAGTTCAACTGACAATCTTTTGGTTAGCAGCTGAGAACTTAAGCAATTCATGACCAGGGCTCCTGTGTGTGAACTTCATTAAGTAGGTTTATAAAAGGTTCCACAATGCTTTTGGTACCAGGTAGTCTGTATGTTCCCACTGCTCTCCTGGCTAAATTCCAGCTGAGGAAATCCCCTTGTAAAAATTTCCTCTCTGTTCCCAACTACAAATGGTATATATATATATATATACACACACATATATAAATTAAACTCTCAATTTTGTATACTAACATAGAGTAAGACATTTGACTGACATAAGCCCATCAAAATATGTGTATGAATGTAAAAATTACTTTCTTCTATCTAACTTCATCTTTGGATAACCACTTCTTGGGGCTTAATTTAGTAAAGTAGCCTACAGCTTCATGTAATACATCCCCTTTCTTATTTTTCAGTCTCCAAGTAGTAGAAATATAATGTAAGAGGTCATGGAGGCAGACTAGCAGGGTATTGAGAAACATATTGAGTATATTGAAAACATATAGTGATGATGAAAGTGCATGAGAAGCTGCAACAAAGCAATTCTATGTTTTCAAAAATAAAACTTTGATGGAAACCTTTCCCTCATAATTAGCAAAGGAACATTCTTAGATTTTCGGTTGATGTGGTGTAGCTGAACCTCCCTTAATAATAATTATTCCTTGGATTTCCATACTGCTTTTAACATTTCAAAGAGCATTCAAGGGCTTTATCACAGAATCTGTGTGTGCTTCCTCTGTTTCCCCAGGGGCAAGCAGGTGCTCATTGCCATGTTGCTCCATAGTGGGATACCCTAGAAACCTCCCGCATTGATGTAACAGGTCCAAACCAGTAGCAGAGTGGAAGCTTGTAAGATATAAATCCTTATTCAGTCTCCATGATCTCTTCCCTCTTGAACAAGATTAGTGGCGCATAACTAGTTTGCAGTAACCCTAAATCAACAAATCTAGAAAAGAACAATTTAGACCTTGGAATTACCCGGTATTCACATTCATCCAAAAATTCATTCAACAAATATATTTACTGATTATCTGCCTAAGTGCCAGGCATTGTTCTAGTGCCGGGGACACTGCAGTTAACCAATCAAAGTCTTTGTCATCAGAGAGTTTATATTCCAGTGATGGAAGAGAGACAATAACAAAACAAACAAATGGGTAGTAAGTCAGATGATGAAAGAATAGCCAATGATGTGTTGAAGGAATAGCCAGTGTAGGGGAGAGTGGTGGGAAGTGCGGTTCAAGAATGAGCCTGAAGCTCAACTCCATATATAGAATCTTCTGGATTATTATGAGGAATTTGGCTTTTACTCAGTAGGAGATGGGGAGCCATTGGAGGATTTGAAGCAGAAGCATGAGAACACCACCAAATTTACATTTCATTAGAATCACCTGGCTGCTGTGTTCAAAACAGACTGAGGAGGGAGCGGCTGAAGCAAACCTGTTGTCCTGGAGTTGATTCCTCTTCATAGCGACTCTGTAAGCTGAAACGACTCAATGGCAACAGGTTTTTATTTTGCTTCAGTCCTTGCCACCCTCACTCTGTACCACAGCAGTCAGGGGATTCTATTGATAAGCAAGAAGTTAGCTAATGCAATAATCCAAGTGAGGACAAGAGTGATAGTCCATCCCCTCATGACCTTTTTCCATCAAAACCTACTCCCTACCCCAAGCAAGTACTGAATTGATATTTTATAAGAATTTTTATCAGCTTTACTGATATTCTAGAATTTCACATTAATGGGAAGATAATGGGGTAGTAGAGAAGGAGATGGGAGAAATATATGAGGGCAGAGTGTGGAAGGAGGTATATGCAACAGGCACCAGTAATCAGGTTTTTTTTTAGTACATCCAGGCCCTAAATAATTAAATATCACCATTGTGAAAAACCATTTACTGAGTGTATTCTATGCATAGAGACCTGTTCTTATTAATAACTACAAAAAATGAATAAAACATTAGCCCTGTCCTTGAGGGAGTAGTTATTCCTTCTTCACCAAGAGGAATCATATTGGAAGCGTCCCTGATAAGCAAGAATTTTCATATCATCTGAGCAACATATGCCACTCCTATGGTATGGAAACAAAGATGAAAACTTATGCAATATGACCTGCAAGTAGATAATAGTAACTAATGGAGCTCTAGTGGCACAGTGGTTAAGGTGTTCAGCTGCTAACCCAAAGGTTAGTAGTTGGACCCCACCAGCTCCTCTGCAGGAGAAAGATGAGGCAGTCTGCTTCCATAAAGATTTATAGCTTTCAAAACTCAATGGAGCAGTTCCGCTCTGTCCTACAGGGTTGCTATGAGTCAGAATTGACTTGATGGCAGTGGGTTTGTTTTCTTTTGTTGTTTAACAGTAACTAATACATTTTTCAGGAGCTCTGGTAGCATAGTGCCTAAGGCACTTGACTGCTAACCAGAAGGCTGGCGGTTCAAACCCACCAGCCACTCCTCAGAAGGAAGGTTGGGCAATCTACTACTGTAGTGATACTGCCTCGGAAACCCAAGGAGGGGTCGCTATGAGTCGGGTCTGACTCGATGGCACATAACAACAACAACAATGATAGATTTTTCAATAAGCAGTGGGGCACTCTGGTTGCCAGTATCCATTTCTGTTCCCATAAAGTCAGTATTTAAAAAGAGAAGCTTATAATTTTCTTAGAGAGAAAATTACTTAACACATTTCCAACCAAACTCAAAGTAAAATGCCTTTAAGCCCTCTGAGAGATCTGCAGGTTGTAATATAAAAGAAGGTTTCACCACTGAAAATATATTTGATGGTTTTTCATATAACCACTGCCAGCTGCCCCCCAGGATGCAGGGTAATTTGGTAAAGGGCCACAACTGCATTGTGATCATGAACCATGAACTTGTCATAAGCAGAAGATCAGTGTGAGGGTTGAGGTAGATTGCCCAGGATTGTGGGAGGGGGTGATTAAAGGTCAGAGCAGACCACACTGTGTTTCCTCACTGGGGCAACATTAGGTTAAAATGAATACTCCAAATCAAAATACCAAACCTGATGCTGTCATGCCAATTCTGACTCATGGTAATCCTGTGTGTAACAGAATAGAACTTGTCCATAGGGCTTTCTTGGCTGTAATCTTCACAGAAGTGGATCGCTAGGCCTTTCTTCCGTGGGACTGCTGGGTGGGCGAACCACCAACTTTTAGATTAGTAATTGAACGCTAACTGTTTAGGTCTCCCAGGGACCTACTGAATACTGCAAGGTAGTCCAAAGAGGAAAAGTAGTCAGAGATTAGAATTCCGAAAGTATGTATAGAAGGGGCAAAGGATGGATGTGGTTATAGCAGTGATGGTGGTGATGGTGAGTTACTGTGAGGGGTAGAGTGCAAACATTTTGGAATGGGAATATGAAATAATTACTCAGATAACAGTCTCTCTCTCTCTCTTTTAAGCACCAACTACAGCATCTCCTCTCGTCCAAATCATTTCCCATAACTATCACATAACTTTTTGCAAGGGTGAATATACTGCATCCCATACCTTAAGGATGACTCTGAACTTAATAAATAACCTAGCACAGACCCCCATTTTCTTGTATAGGTAGTCTCCAACCTATAATGTATTCAAGTTACAATGACCCACACTTAAAACTGTTTTTCCCCCTTACATCTTATTGTTAGTAGTATGCTGTAGCATGTTATTTGCTGATGCTATCATTTTCAGATGTTCACTCACAGTTGCTCAATTTTATGATTTACTGTTCAAATCACTGCCAGATTTATAAAGATATTGATAAGAAAAGGCAATAATAATGAAAACTAAAGACAAAAGGTATTTGACATACATCAGAATCAATTTACAAAGGAATCGTTGGAATGGAACCTCATCCTAAGTCAGGGACTACCTGTATTTAAAATTGATGACGAGCCAGGAATATGGAAATAAAAAAATGCTTCTGCTCACTTACCTTCTCCAATGCAGCTTGAACTATTGATTCACTTTCTGAATCCAGGGCAGATGTAGCCTCATCTAAGATCAGAATCTTGGGGTTTCTAACTAAAGCTCGAGCAATCGCAATCCTCTGTTTCTGCCCTCCACTCAATTGAGCTCCTTTCTCCCCTACCAAGGTATTAAATTTCTAAAAAGGAAAAAGTACAGAAAGGGAAGACAGCATGATCAAATGATTAGAACAGAAGACTACAAACAATGACAGTTGTGTTTTATATCAGTTTAATCACTACCTTATTAGCTGGAGTTTTTCTTTTTTTTTTTTACCTTTGAGTTCTTTATGAAAACAAACAATTGTGAAAAAAGAGACCTATGGAAAATGAAGCTAGGACTGAACAAATTCAGAACATATGACAAGTCATTTTTTTAAAAAAATAATTTGAACCAATTTTCAAAGTTTTTCACACATTTTTGAAACCCTTTGAGATCTTAAAAAAAAATCATTGTAAGACAAACACACAATTAACTATGATTTGAAAAGTTTAGTACCAATTTAATAGATTATCCACAATTTCCTTTCTGAATACTTGGAAAAACTAAACATTAAGAAAAAATTACTACAAAATAAACCTCCCTCCAAAACTTTTTTCAATCTTGGGAGAACCTTTTTCTTCTTCTACTTTCTTTTTTTAAAATTTTAATTTTAATATATACATGCCTTAAACAAAGTAGATATTCCTAGATATACAAAGCAGAGGGAACTTCTAGCACTAATGAAGCATGGTCAGTAATAATCTTTTGGGATAAATGCCTGATTCAAAATTCATGTCTTTAAGAATAAAATTTAAATCTTTCTAAAACTTTAACTTCTACTAGAAGAATTCTACTAACCTTCATATTAGGAGCCCTGGTGGCAAAATGGTTAAGAGCACTTAAGAGCATGTCATTGATTTCTGCTTCTAACTGTAAAGTCAATGGTTTGAACTCACTAAGCATCTCTGCAGGCGAACGACCTACTAGCAATCTGCTCCTCTAAAGACTGCTGCTGTTGTGTGTCGTTGAGTTGATTACGACTCCCAGCAACCCTATAGGACAGAGCTGAACCACTACATAGGGTTTTCCTGGCTGTAAATTTTCACACCAAGTCTTTTCTCCTGCAGTGTGGCTGGTGGGTTCAAGCTGCCAATCTTTCAGTTAGTTGCCAAGTGCTTAACATTGCACCACCAGGGCTAGAAAACCCTTTGGGGCAGTTCTATTCTGTCACATGGGGTCACTATGAATTGAAACTGACTCAATGACCCAACAAAAACCTTCAAATTGGATTTTTTTTGCAAATCAACCTTGTTAAGGAATAACTTACGTACAATAAGACGCACACCATTTAAGGATACAGCTCTGTGAGTTTTGACAAAGGAGTACACCCATGTAACCATCATCCAAAGAGAGAGATGGGGCAAAACATGGATGTGATTATATAGTTGTAGAGGAGTTCCTGGGTGGTGCAAATTGTTACAATGCTTGGCTGCTCACCGTAAGACTGGAGGTTGGAATACATCCAGAGGTACCTAGAAAGAAAGGCCTGGCTATCTATGTGTGAAAAATCAGCCACTGAATGCCTTATGGAGCACAGCTGTACTCTGGCACACACGGGGTCACCACAAGTCAGAATCAGCTGGACAGCATCTAGCTCTGGGGGCACAGCGGTTAAAGCATTCTGCTGCTAATCAAAAGGTTGGGGGTCGAGGAGGCAGCCTTGGAAACACTATAGGTCAATTCTACTCTCTCTATAGGGTCGCGACAAGTCAGAGTTGACTGCATGGCGGTGGGTATTTGCCCTGTAACCTCTATTTCCTGATGGATTCAAGAAAAGCTTTAACTTATAAGTTGTTCAGTTTCCTTTCTTAGAAAGATGGGAGTGATTTTCTACAACTCTGAGCTGTTCAACTGATATTTTTACAGATTTTTATCTTGTTAACTTATCAAACTCAGTTATTAGTTGTAGTAACCTTTTTGTAGGTTCTTTAGGTTTTTTGTCATACCTAATCATGTCTGCAAATGAACAAAATTTAATTTCTTCATTTCCAATTTGTCTTTTATTTCTTTATCTTGATTAGTGTTGCTAGTGGTTTATCAACTGTATTGCTCTTTTCAAACATGTCTTTGCTTTATTTTCTATGTCATCAATTTTTGCTTTTTAATATTTCCTTCTTTCTATCACTTTGGAATTCATTTGCTCTTCTATTTCTAGTTTTATTAAAATGGCGAAAACAGATCATTGATTTTAAACCATTCTTCTTTTAAGATATCTTAAGAAAAAAAAACCAAAACAAACCTCACTGCCATGGAGTCAATCCCGACTCATAGCAACCCCTCCTTGGGTTTCTGAGGCAGTATCTCTATGAAAGTAGATTGTACAGTTGTTGTTGTTGTTATGTGCCATGGAGTCGGACCCAACTCATAGAGACCCCTCCTTGGGTTTCCGAGGCAGTATCACTACAGAAGTAGATTGCCCCATCTTCTTTCCGAGGAGTGGCTGGTGGGTTTGAACCGCCAGCCTTCTGGTTAGATTGTACAGTAGGCATTTAAAACTAACATCCATTGTACATACTCCTGTAAAATTTTAATATGCTGTGCTCTCATTATCATTTATTTTCTGATTTACCTTTTCACTTTTTTTGACTGCTGTTTATTTCAGAGCATAGTTTTAATTTCCAAATATTATTTTTGTTCTATATAATGTGTGGTAAATATATGACTAAAATCTATTGTGATCAGATATATACACTGAATAACTTACATCCTTTTAAAATTTATTGATAGTTGTTTTATTTATTGATAGTTGTTTTATTGTCCATCATATGGCCCAATTAGGTGAATGTTCTATGTGAATTTGAAAAGAATGTGTATTTGTTTTGGTTTTGTTCTATCAATTACTGAAAGGTAGATTTTTCGAATTTCCTATTATGATGGTGGCTTTATCTATTTTTTGCTTTAGGTCTGAATAATGAGTTATAGCTTTTTAGCTATTCACTTTGTTTTTTTAGTGTTTGTCTTAAATAAAAATAAAACCCAAGCTCACTGCCATTGCATTGGTTCCAACACATTGCAACCTCTCCTTGAGTTTTTGAATTGGTATCTCTATGGAAGTAGACTGCCCAGTCTTCCTTCTGAGGAGTGGCTGGTGGGTTTGAACTGCTAGCCTTCTGGTTAGCAGTGAAATGCCTTAGGCACTATGCCACCAGAGCTCCTGTGTTTGTCCTAGAGCTAATAGTATTCATCTATAGGTTATCAAAGTCCATTTACAGTCAATTTGTACATTTCACACTTCCCATCTGGTACTGACTCTACTGCACATTTCCATTGCCTACTTTATACCCTTCATACTACACAAATGTAATAAACTGACATTATAATTTAATTTAGACCTCCATATCCTATGTGCTATTTTTGCTTTATCTTCTGTTTACTTTACAATACTCAGCTTACAAATTAATTGATTTTAATTTACACAGTCATTTGTCTTCTAAGGAAAATAAGAGATTTAATAAACATACTGTTTTATATTTGCCCATTTACTCCTACAAACACAAATTTCCATCTGGTATCATTTCCCTTCAGCCTGAAAGACATCTTTTAGAACTTGTAAAAAAAAAAAAAAGTCTTCTAGCAGACTGGTGAAACCCCCGAGACTATGGCCCCAAGTCACCCTTCAGGCCTGGAATTGATTTCACTCTCGTGGCTTAACTCTCAGTCAAATAATATACAGGCCTATGAGCTGAACTACTGCTCCAGGGAGACACACTGTTAGAACAATCAACCATGGGAGATAAGAAGGGCAGCATTTGCACTGCAGGAGAGGTAGGGAGGTGATTGCCCAACCTTCCTTCCAAGGAGTAGCTGGTGGGCTTGAACTGCCACCCTTCTGGTTAGCAATCAAATGCCTTAGGCACTAGGCTACCAGTGCTCCCATGCACAGGCAAGGACACAAGGAAAGGGTAACCAGAGGGAGAAAGTGGGAGGTGAGATGTTACACTGAGGAGAATGTAACCGGTATCACAAAACAAAATGAAACATGTATATGAACTCTTGAATATAAAATGAACCTGCTTTGTAATCACAAAAAAAGTTATTTTTTAAAAAGAAACAGTTATGCATTTATTAAAAGATGGAAGATATAAACACACACACAGATACACACACAAAGTCTTCTAGCTCTGACTTCTCATCACTTTTGTTTATTTCAAATTATTCAACCCTATATTTTGAAGGATATTTTCTACTGCCTATTTAAGCTTGGGGAGCTCTGGTGGCATAGTGCCTATGGCATTTGGCTGCTAGCCAGAAGGCTGGTGGTTCAAACCCACCAGCCACTCCTTGAAAGGAGGATTGGGCAATCTACTTCCGTAGAGATACCGCCTTGGAAACCTAAGGAGGGTCACTGTGGGTTGCTGTGAGTGACTCGAAGGCAGTGAGAGTGAGATGTAAGCTTGGGTTGAAATCTTTCTTTCAGCTCTTAAAAATGACCATTTGTTGGTTTCTGGCATCCATTGTTTCTGATGAGAATCAGTCATCATTTATGGTCTTATGCTTTTGTATATAATGTGTATTTTTGCTCTTATTGTTCCAGGGGTTTCATATTAATTTTTGGTATTCAATAGCTTGGATATAATCTACTTGGGGAGTTCTGAGTAAAGTAAAACCTATTTACCCCAACTATTTTCCCACCCCCAGCAGATGAGTATTCAGTTCCTTAAAGAACTGAATGAAAAATATTCCTTCCTGCAGATGATAGACTTGCTAAAAGTATTTTAGAAACAACTTGTAAATAACTCTGGCCCAGGGACATGCGCAATATGACTAAAGGAACAAAAGTTAATTGCTGACCCTCTTCACCCATTTCACAATTCACACCCCAAATTCCTCAACCTTTTGTGAATATGCATAACCCCCTCTCCTGAAACCTACAAAAACTGTGTTTAGATGGCATCTAGGGGAATTTTAGCTCTGGGTACCAAACTATCCCTAACACCTTGCACTGCTGCCTTGCAATAAATAATTTTCTCTCCTCTCAGTCTCAGTGTGTAGACTGTTTTGGCCTGACTGGGCACCGGGCAGGGACCCGCGTTTGGTCCAATAACCAACCAGAGTGGGGTGGTTACATTAACACCTTTTTAATACCCGAGGCATATA